TACATGGAGCTCTTTTTTTGCCTGGTTTTAGATTTCTTACTTAAAAAAAAAAAAAAAAAAAAAAAAGCATATGATGATTGCTTCCAATGTGTGCTTATAGAAACTGGAGACATTTGCATTCCTAGTATAGAGGAAGATGGGGACTTGACAGATATTTGATTTGAATTGGCTTGTTATTTCTGGTTCTGACTTATTGCAAACACTGTGCCTACTGCTGTATCTCTCTTGACTGAAGACAGGCATCCTAAGGGATAACTTTGTTTTCCCTCTCATTTAGAAAGGGGAAAACACGACTCCAGCTCTGCTACTTGTGAAGACACACAAATTTGTAATTTGGTCTGAGAAAGATTGAAAGCGTCACCAAGCTCTGAAAAGTGATCATTCATTCATCCTGTCTTCTCTGAGGTGCCCCAGCAACCTGTGGCCCTGGTGTCCAGTGGTGTGTTGGGAAGGCTGGAAAAACAAGTGCTTGGCACTGCTTGGGGTAAATCATTGAGGAAGTACTGGTGAGAAGCTATGAAGGATAACCAATTTGAATCCAAATCTTTGCCAGTTCCAAAGCAATATGTCACCTGACCTTCCCCTTATTTGTGTTCAACCTGGCATACCCTACCCAGGCCCTGAATTCAGTAGCTTTGAGATAGTGTCTTTGGACCTTAGTCCAAATGGTGGCAGGGAAGGTTTTACTTTTGCATCTCTAGAGCACCAGAGTCCCTCAGAGTTTTTCTGGCAGCTCAAATGTTGTTCTTAGCAGAGAAAGGCCCTGATCACGTCTTACAGTCCAAGCAGAAAGGATGAACATGAGTTAACACTCAAGAGCTTGTCTTTGTCACTACAAAAACTGAAGCAAAAGCTTATTTTTTCAACACTGCCCTTCTCTTGACTGAATCAGCACAGGCAATGTTCTGACTTCCCATTAAGGACTTGCTGGGTTTGACAGCCCTGAAAATGAAGGTACAGGTAGAATTCAGCAAAATGCTCTAGAGTGGGTACCAGCAGCAATGCAAGGCTGGCGGTGGGACATTGGCACAGACTAATAGCCCAAGAATTTATCTCTGGCCTCTTTCACTTTGCTTGAGCCTCTGTGGGGGTATCAGCTAGCAATACCCTTACCTCCTTACTTAACGAAAACATGGCTAAGTTCTTAAAGTCATAGAGGATTCCCCTAAATTGAGGCCTTTCCATCCTAGAATGTGAAGACACTCATTCTTTATATTTTGTACCTCTTTCCTGCAGCTGCTAGAAGTAAAAATGAGACTGGAAGAAATGGCAAACATCACGCATCAAGCCTGAAAAATCTGTGGTTACCAAGGTACAAATCTCTTTGAAGTAACATGCTTACTACGTTTCATTTAGTGAATTGATCTGATGGCTTGCATTCTGTGAAGCCGCTGCCTTGCTTGCTCATTTAGCTTCCTTCCTTCCTAGCACCTGAACATGGACCTCTTTAGGCAAGCTACCCATCTGCTGGAAGGAGACCTCTGCTCATTCTGCCAGATGAGAGAAAATCAAAATTCTTGCTGAGTAGCAGTAAAAGAGCAATGCTGCTGCCTGGAATTGCATCAGGAGTTCTGTACTTATTAGGCACTGTAACAGCTACAGCTGAGAAACAAGTCACTGAGACTGTTCAAAAGCCTATGGATTCTTTCTTGCATTAAGTTAATTAGTGAGAAATGAAACAAACAGCAAATGTGTGAAAGAAAAGGATTAAGTATCTCATATCTTGGTAGCTCAATGGAATTGCAAGGAGAAGGAATTCTACCTGTTACCAATAGGAAATAAGTCATTTTTTTCTGACATTGAGCAGAATTCATCATGATTTTTACCTCCTTGTGGACAGAGAACGTTCAACTACCGAGGCAAATATGTAACAACTAATCCAGGGATCCAGGTAGAACATGGACTCATCTGAACCACTGGGGTGTACTTCTGGCTGAGAAGTACCATCTTCTAATTCCCTTCTGCACTCACTCTGACATGAAAATACAGGGAGAAGAAAACTCACAAATGAACACACTCCTCCCCAGCACTTAGCAGCATCAGGAAAACAAGGCAAACAGATGGGAGCCAATGTATCATCACATGAAATCCCATCCCTTTTGAAAACATGCCAGCTGAAGATGAGACAAGATTCTTATTAGTGTTCTTTGCTGTAGATAACAAATAGGATATTTTTGGCTTAAAGGTAGCTAGCAAGTGCTTTTTTACCCTCCTTTGAATGCATGTTGTCTTGGCCAGGTGACCTCTGAAGCTTGAGATGTACAGAAGTACGAGACATTCCAGAGACATATCTAAATGACTTTGGCAAACTTTGCATCCTCTAAATCTTGCTTTCCTGATGTGTCCATTTGACTAGAGTTCAGTTTTACCCAGAAAGACCAGCAGTTACTTTTCAGGCTCTTGAGCTGTGTTTCCGTCTGCAGTTGTGGTAGCAAGTTTTCCTTGCCTTGTTGACAGTCTTCCTGTTGTCATGCACAAAACTGGTTTTTAATAGGTACTGGGATCCCTCTCCCCTCCATGCGGTTCAGTGGTGACATCTGGAAATATTACTGAGGAAGTTTCTCACCATCTGGGCCTCCAGCAGGCTCAGCACCTGCATCGCCATTGTCCCCAGGCCTCTCCCAGCAGCGAGCTGTCACTCCCCACAGCTGTCCTCTCCGGGCTCTCTTCCTCAGCCTGTCAGCAGCTTCTCTGACAGCAGCCAGGTTAGTGGATCCCGGCCAGCCCATTTTCCCAACCTGTAAATGTGATGGAAGGTTTTTCTGCTTGCAATTAATGTTTGGTTTCCATCCCTTGCCATGAAGTGAGGAATGCTTCTGCAGCATGTGCAGAGGCACAGATTTACCAGGGCATCTCCCTGGCCTGCAACAAATTGTCACTTCTTGACTGCAAATCTATCAAGCCAAGTGTTTCCTCAGCTGAGCTTTGAGAGAGGCTACTTATGGGTGCTTCCTCCCCTTTTCAGCCACAGTGCAGGTTTGCTGGGTCTGTGCCAAAGGCTCTTACTTTGAGCTTCAGTATTGCCTCAGCAGTGTGTTTGTCAGCAGTGAGCAACCTGTTGAACAGACCTCTTCCTCTGCTTCACCCTCTGTGGGGTCAGGAACAAGCGAGTGTGATCAGAAGGATGTTTGCCTGACAGATTTGCTCCCAGACAGTGGCTGGTCTCTCCACACAGCTGGTGGTGGGGCTGGGTCTACCCCACAATGCACATCTACACACACACATTCCTGTGTGTGTATCATGCAAGAATGTACAAAGCTTTACATATATATAGTTACTGAGGAAATCTGTGAATATATCACTCAAGAGACCGAGATTTTAATACCACTTTAGAAGGCTGGAATATAAGTGGATGGTTGGACTGCATGATTTTGTAGGTCTTTTCCAACCTTGATGATTCTATGATTCTTTGATCAGCTCTACTGAAGCCAATGGGAAAAATGAATTGGATTAATGTCCCAATTTAATCAAGTTAAGAAGGATGTTTATATGAACTACAGCTTTTCAAAGTAGTTAATGTTTAAGTCTGTGAAACATTGCTGTTTATGTATGTGATGTAAAATATATTTTATAGTTGGTAAGAACCACTACTAGATAATTTAGATAGTAACAAGAACAGTGTTTTGGGAAAGAAGTTTATACTTTTATACTAAAGTATACTTTAGTACTTTAACTAAAGTTAAGTACTGTGCTGCTGGAAGACAGAATATAGAGTGAATACTCAGTTCCTCTCTCTAAATTTTACAGTATTGTATACTGAAAGGGTGGACAAACTGTGGGAGTCCTAAATACTGCTAGTGATTCCATCTAGCTAGTCAGTTTATGTAAAATCATTGACCTTGATCTGAGGATAGACCTCTTTAACACAATCAATACAGGTGCAATCAGATAAGAACATTCTACTGTTTTATTAAAGTGCATCTAATTCAAAACTCAATAACTCTCACAAATCCTTAATCAGAGAAGACATCCTGGGAGGTATTTAGGTGAGTGATCTTATAACTCTTTCTCTCTCCTTGTTAGGATGGCATTTTACAAATAGACATGTCTGTTTCCTCTTTACCCTCTCTGCCATAATTCTTTCAGTGTACAGTTGTGTTGATTATTGTGCATTTATCAAGTCTCTTTTCCCCTTCATTTATTTAGAGGGATTGAGTCAAGTGACAGCTTCTGCTTACCTCATCCCCCAGGGTCGCTGTGGGCAGGCATATAAATGCAAATGTGCCTCCCTTACTGGCACACTGAGCCCTATATTCTAGTCTGTGACTTAGATGTCTTACCCTATAGGAGGTATAGTAAAAATGAATGCTGCCTAACTCAGGGTGGCCTGGGATAATGAAAGAAAACAGTCCATGTGCAGCATAATGTGATAGCTTAAGTAGAATGAAAGGCAAAGACAATGACTGAATTTTTTGAAATGATTTTAAATCAAAATGATACATACTGAGTAAGACAAAATAAGCACATGGTAGAGAGCTCTGAGAGCACTGCTTACAGTGAGATAATTATTATCCTTTTCAGGTGATCCTCAGCATGTTCCTTGATAATGTGAAATAAATTGTAATTTAGAGCATTTGAGCTGAGGGCAGACTCTTTTTTTTTGTCATTTAAGTGCACATACAACAGACTGAGGGCATTAGATCTCTTAGTGTGAGCGCAAACAACTGCATATGCTTATCGAGACTCCATCTCCTTGTTTTACACAAAACAGCACTTATCCAATCTATGAAATAAAATCAGAAAAAAAAGAATCATATGTGATTGTAACTATAAAATGTGCAGAAAGGCTGGAGAATTGCTGCAGTCTCTTTAACATGTGTCTGGTCACAGAAGAGGAGGTCTGAACACTGACTTTTCATAGGTATGAGTATTTTACGCAGAGTCTTGAATAAAAGACATAAAAGGAGTGGATCTGATTGGGGTGGACTGACATTACTGGTCAGAGTTGATTAAATCTCTCTTTTTTTTTTTCTCTTGGAAATGCCAAGTCATGGCTTAAAGCAGTGATTGACCACCTGGTGGGAAGGCTGGGCCAATTTAGGGGAGCTCAGGTGCATGCAGCGCATATGCAATGCACCTGAGACCAGAAGGGATCCTGGCTCCACCCCTTCCCAGACCTCACGTAAGGGTTAGCAGTGGAGGCAAAGGCCTCTTACTGGAGGTTCCCGTGTATCTGAGGCCTTCTGGAGGTAAGTAGCTTCTTTCCTTTATTTCTGTGCTCATGGCTGTTTCATTTGAACAAATCCTTACTTGCTGCAGCCTGGGACCTTGCTGCTCTGTTGTCATTGCTGCACTTTGCATTGTGTTACACTCTTTAAAGCTCAATTTCAAAATGCATCGTGCTTGATAGTGGAATGACCCAATGTGAAGCTGTAATAAGTACCTTGGCTCTTGCTTTGAAGGACATTGCTGATTCAAATAAGGACTTTTGCTGATTCTGCAGCACCACAGTCTCTCAACAGCTACTATATCTTACCTTATTTTTCTTACTTCAACAGGGTAAAATAAAACCCTCTTTTTATTTTGCAATTACACAAGGGATACTATCATCTCTGAAACGTATTTCTTGTATGTTGCTGCTTTAATAAATTCAGCCCCCATTGTCAGTTGAACAAAAGTAATGTTACAAATAATCTCTGCAGACTTCTGTGTTCTGGGCTTGCAGTTCAAAAACAGCTTCTTATGGGAGGTGGGATGAAGATGGTGCGTGGACATACACAACTCTTTAGATGAAGAGGTGAAAAGAAAATACTATTTTCTAGTGTTAGCAGGAGAAAGAACAGTGAGAGAGCACAAAGTATTCCAGATGCTGCATTATGTCCATAATGATATGTAACAGTTCTGTATGAATCTAATAAAGCCATGGGCTGTGAGTAAGTTTTGTGTTTTTTGCCAGATGAGTTTGGCTCTGAAGGATTCTCACACCCACTGGAAAATAAGGATACAAGAGACTTAATTAAAAATGAGAGCTTGAGATGCACGGCAAGACTTTAAACTCTTCTTGTGTTTAATGGAATTTGCTGTGGTGCTAAAATAGTATTCCCCCCTGTCATTCTGACATGAAAAACATTAGTGAATATTTGATTTTACTGTGGAACAAATTATGGTAATAATGACTCTTTGAGAGAAAAAATGTGCTTGAACTGGTACGAGCTCATTTAAAGTGTGCGTGTTAAAAATAGAGCAGATACACAAAATGTTGTCTGATACTTCATCAACTGACTGCTATTTTATGAGATGCATGCCCTTTCAGCGCAGTACTTGACACTTAACATTTGCCTGTCTCAACTCCACTCTTCTTGCAAACTCCGTTCTTCTCACTATAATTTGGACATGGGGAATGTGTGAACAGTCAGGTTTCAACTCCTGTTCAGCAATTCAGAACTTCAATGTCAGAAGGCAGTGGGGCAGAAAATCTTCCCTATCTTTGCAATTGACTCTCAGAGTTAAATTTTATGGTATGAGTGACTGACCACATCCAGAGAAACAATATATACAGTGAAGGAGCCATTATTGCTAGATTTGCTATTATTTATTTGTATTTATTTTAATTTGCAGTATAATTTTATTATGAAATCAGTGATTCCAGTAGGTCAAGTCAGATGGTCAAGATGGGAAGGTTTAAAATAAGTTTTCTTGTACAAGCAAGTCAGTGGACTATTTGGGAGATTCTCCTGGAAGGCAAAGAGATGGCTGTTCTGTCACCTCTTCTAAGCAGTCAGTGCTCTACAGCTTTCATGGGAAGAAGCTACAGGAGGAATCTGCTGTACCGATGCATAGTGTGGTTTGTTCCTGCCTTGGCACTCTCTTTTCAGCATATATTGCCCATTATTCTGACTGCTCCAGCTCTTCTGTATGTCTGTGAATGTACTTGAGGGAGTTGGGAGTGGCACGGGGTGAGCTAATCTTTGCCCTCAGAAACTCTTCTTCATAATTCCCGGTATGTTGGCCTTTGTCAGATGACACCTTCAGAAAACTCCTGAGTGAACGTGGTTCAACCTTTGCAGATTTCAGCACAGAAAATGCTACTCAGAGTCTTTTTCTGTTTACAAATGAAGTCAACCCCCTCCACTCTCCCCCCCTGCTCTCAATATGAGTGAGTTAATGATAAATGGACATGAATGATGAATATAAAATGAAGTATCTTTTTGTTATAGCTGGCTTGACTTAATTTTATAAAAGCATCTGAAAGAATAAAAATCAAGCAGGCTATAAGCATGCATTCCTTTCCCAGGGATGCATCCCATAAGGTCTTTGCACTTTATTGACTGATTAAAAGAAAAAAGGTTGGGCCAAAGAAGATCAGAAATGGATTGTCATGGAGCAAGCCCATTAGAATCACTTTGTTTCACACAGCCAGCAGCATGTTTAATGACAATTTGTTTGGGAGCATGGGTCACTGTTGGGCAGACTTGCCAGCTTATGTAGGATAAAGTAAACAATAAATGTGAACTGTCAGGAGATCTTAAGAACAATTTGCAGAATAAGACAGAGAAAGGAAAATACTTCACGATTAGAGGTTCCACTGTCTTCATAGTTAGTTGCTGTCCCAGCCAAAGGTATAGGATACTTTTAATATAATCTTGCTGTATAATGTAATCAGACTGTCTGAGAGATATCTTATGCTACTCTGGTAGTCAACAATCAAGTATGGTCAAGGACAGTCAAATTGTTTTATTGCACATAACTTGGCAAAGGCTGGGAAAGAACGTGTATGAATTTAATGGCTCAAGGCTTTTATTACTTACCCAATAGGTGATTTTCAAAATGTACTTCCTTGCCTTCATGTCAAATGCAAAGTGAAATTAATGGCTTTTAAAATTATTAGTTGGAAAGAGGGAGAAGAATTGAAAGGAATCAAGTGAGGAACCAAAAGGCCAGCAGAGAATGTTCTAGAAGCCTTAGGAGAACTGTAAGAAGTGACTGTACAGGTCGTGTATCAATCCATGTCCAAAAGCTCTGAGATTAAAGTGCAGGTTCGTGGAATTGTTAGTAACCATGTAATTGTAGAACAGATACTACAATGCTGAGTGTTTTTTAAATGAGGGCCTCAAGGATGTAGAAGTAATTTGGGTCTTTTGCAGTCTCATTTAATCTCTCTCTAATGGCGAGAATTCCATAGGAATGACTCAAGGAATGAAGGATTTTGCAAGATTCATCCATGAGAATGGAAATAATTATTTCATTTGAGAGAGAAATAATAGGTTTGGGGAAATGTGCTCCCATTCTATGAAATGAATTTTTTTTTTTCCCCAACATCATCAGTTTATCAGGAACAGTTTAAGAATCAGGTCAGAATTAACTTTTTCTTCAGTTACAAAGCCCAGAATGCAGTGTTTCCACACGACCTGTGGAAATAACCTCGCTTTTCCAAAGATGATTTGATGTTCAAATGCTCACTACAACTCTGCACATCTTGCAAAACTTCACTACATCATGCTGAAGAGCAGAAAGGCTTTAAATGAATCTTTTACAGGATTTCGTGGATGGTTATCATCATCTTCAGAATGTGCACAGACAGATGAGGAAGGCTGCCTCACTTCTGTTAGATTTGCCCTGGAGACATGTTGGAGATTTTTTTTGTCTGGGAACATTGTAACACTGAAGAATAATTTGTACTCCAATTAATTTTTTTTTCTGAATTGTCTCTGAATTTTATCATGAGCCTGACATCTTTCATATAGTCATCATAAATTTACATGGCACAGTTAAAGTTCTTTGAAGAGTTAAAGTTTAAATCAGGATTGAAATATTTTAAAGGACTTTTGTAATGACACATTAGAATCATAGTGAATCCCTTGATAGCTTAAATGGATGGAAACATTCTAGAGTACAAATGAGTTAGAGGTTAATTCATAGTACCTTGTAAAGGCTTGGGGAATTCTTTATACTAGAAGTGGCACTCCAGCAGGAACAATCTGCTGCATGAGAGAGACGTTCTCTCTTGACCTCTCCTCGCTCTCCAAAATGAGTGTTTATGGGCAAGAATCTGTCTTGACTCACTATCCACCTCACTGCAGCCTCTTTATTGTCAAAGAGGATGGAAAAGTTGAATGATATCTCTGTGTACTGCAAGCCATGCTGGGGAAAAAAAACAAAAAACAAAAAAAACCCACCAAGAATCTGAGAAAGTGATGGGTTCATATTTAGAAAATTTTAAGCTACAAATAACTAAGTAGCTAATTAGGAAAAGAGGGTTTGGGATTCTTCTTCTACTGTAAGAGTTGACTGAAATGTCCCGTGGTATTTAGACCTTGGAAAGCATGCTATACGTGCTATAGCTGAAATGAAATTGGAACTTGGAAGCAAGTTTACATCCTCTGAGGAAAGAACACAACTGTAAGTAAGTAAGGTATTGTTAGAACCACACTCAAATAACTGTAAACAGCCTCTAAATGATGTCATTGCCAGAGAATCTTCAATTTGCCTTCCACCATAAGTCATTTCTAACAAAAGAGCAAAAATATAACATTTCTGGGGAGCATGCAGATGCCTTCTCTTAATTCAAGTAATCAGTGAATGATGTAACTGGTATTTTCCCTGGAGTGCCTTTTCCTGGATTTCCTTGAGTTGAGAGGCTCCATGTTGGTAATGAGACACAAAGATATTTAAAACAACTCCTTTCTTCCTCCTCCTGCCATACCCAGCTTTGCTTTTGCACTCCAGAATCCAGTTTTGGTCAGAGCACAGCGGTTTAGAAATGTCTTTCTCCTGATCCTTGCCTCACGCTTTCTACCTTGCTCCACTGGGAGCTCTCTTCACAGACTGCAGTTTCTTCAATATCTCCTCCAGCGCAGAGCTCCTCCTCTTCCTCCGTTTCTCACTCCCTTTCATTTCCCCCTCCTCTCTTTCTGGTGTTTTTACCTGTTCATAAAAATGCTTTCACAGAGGTACCCTGGCACAGTTGATAGGCTCGGCTGTGTCCTGGCTTATTGTGGATGGGCAGTGTGGGGCAGCTCCTGGACTATTTTCATAGGAGCCACCCTTGCAGCACTCTCCACTGCCAGGACTTTGCCACATACAGCCAGTGTAGTTTTGCTAACAGTAAAGTAAGGCAAACCTTTGACTATGTGCTTTGAAAAAAAATTTTTTGGCTCACTGCGCTGTGATTGTAGAGACTGTTAAAACCTTCTTTATGATAGATTGGAAACTCTTTTAGTACTTCTAACTAGGCCCACTTATTTTTTGTCCTGTTCAATTCAGAGCGTGCATTCATCCAGCCTGCATGCTGGATCGAAACATGTTGTAGGAAAGATTTTGTTTGTCCTGAAGATTGGGGCAGAGGGCACGTAGTTGGACTATTTGGCACTCCTATTTGGAAGCGCTCCCTGATTTTCCTAGTAAAAGAACTACGGAGATTGTTCTTGAAAACAGTATTGTGCAAGCACCCTTGGGTGATCGTTCTAACTTCTGGATGACTATCATTTTCTGAGTGTTAATGACCTATCCCCGTCCCATCCTGTCGGTGAGGGATCAACCAGCAGACAGCTGGTGAAAGAGCTGCTGCGAGGTGTGCATAGGAGCTCCTGCCTCAGCACTTTCTTTGTGAAGATTAAAGGTGCAAGTGTGTCAATCATCAGTCTGAAAAGGCTGTCAGAGTTCAGTATTTTTAGCTCTTTAGCAGATTATCTCTTTTATTTTTAGAGGTAACAATGGTTCTTAGGTTAAGAGGGAGACAAAAGCCTCATTAGTATTGGAATTTCAAATGAACCTGATAAGGCACTGAGGAGATTTTTTTTCCATAGGAACCTGAAAAGTTGCTTAAAGGATGCTGTGAAAAATGAGCGAAAGCTTCTTGCCTAAGGGTCTCTGTGCTAATGATATACAAATATAAGCTGCCTCTGTCTGCCACTCAGCAGCCTGGGAGCAAGCTTGTACCCTAGCCCATGCAGCAGCAGCAACCCCTCTACTGGGAGCGGCAGTGGTTTCAAAGACATTTCAAAGGCATTTCAGGGATGGAGGATTAGAGGAGCCAAGTAGTCCTGTTGAGTCCTGTGATTATGGGGAAGTTGAATGAAAGGGCTGTAAGGCCTTACACTGCCTGGATGGCCCACCCCTTACCAAGGGCTCATGTAACTTAAAGACCTCAGAGTCACGAGACCTTTGCTGCTCATGGAGAGACTGTTACTGCAGGGAGCAGACTGGTTTAAAGCATGTCTCACTCATGAAACAAAATGCATATTATATTTCTAGTTTGGTCAAAATCAAAGCTAAATGTAAAGGAGTAGGAATAGGAACTTTTTGTTGTAATTTTCTTCTCTTTTTTTTTTTTTCTTTTTTTTTCCCTCCAGGATATGATAAATTGATGCACTTTCCAGCAGACAGCCTAAATCTGGAGACTGTGTCTTTGCTGTATTGGTGTTTGGGAACTGGGGGTCACTTCTTCTTTGAAGTCGAAACTATACTTATAGTGAAGCTCATTATTATTTCTTTATACTCATCTAGTAGACTCTGAGTTTACCAATGAAACAAATGCTGCTCTGAATGAGAGCACCTGGGACAGATAGGACTATGCACTTTGACCCTGGAGTCCACTTGGGAGCATTGCATTTGCACATGGTACTTTGCCCTATTTCATCCTGTCCTTCCTGCCTGAGAATGCTTTTTGCAGGAATTCTGCTAGCTTTACATCACTGAGTTCTGCTGAAATTTTCTGCTTTTGCACTTTCTGTAAATGTGCAGAAGAGAAAGAAAGGAAGGATGAAAAAGTATATTGGAATCATACCAAGCACATTTCTTTTATAAGTCTGATCTATAAAAATGAGTACTTATTATTTTGCAATTATAAATATGTGAAATAAATGCATTAGTTAAGAAGTTATGCTTTTGAAAGTGCTAATTACTAACCAAACAGATTTTACGGTGTTTTAATGAGCACTTTTTAAATATCATATTAATATCCATTAGCTATACTCATACTAGTAATGCTAATAATGTGCAAAGCCATTAGTTAGCTACAAAGCCAATAATGATGATAGTGATTCCAAGCCTGCACTCCTCTAAAAGGTTCTTACTCAATTTGGTATGGAGGGACAGCTAACGTGGGCTTTCATCTGGCTGTTGTGAGTGACTGTATTCACCAGGGTCACACGTGGGCAATGGTTATGGAAAGTCTGTATTCCAGGAGGCAGAAGCTGGCTAAAAGAAAATTTACCATGTCCGCTACTGTGGAAGGCTCTGAATATTTCTGCTCTAGGACCCTACCCCAGCTGCCTTCTAGACTCCTTCATTATTAATTCCTCATTAGAAGGTTTCAGCAACATTTCTTAGCTGAAGTGTTTTTAAAGATAACCTTGGCATATTTCTTCTGATGTGTTATCTGAATGAATATTCAGACAGGTTACTCTGTTATTCCCTCTCTGAAAACATTTGCTGTTATTTTGTGATCTGTAGAATGTAATCAACAAGGAATGGTTATATGGAGAAACTCTAGTTGAAGTTGCACTACAACTTACAGCCACGTTACACTGCTTGCTTTAGGAAAACATTTATAAGCATATTTGCAAGTAAAATATTTTATTATACTAATACCAGGAACATTTTATGTGAGTAGTAAAATGTGTACATTGTTTTAGAGACTGTTCCTGGATTGTAAAACTAACTGTATATCTTGTAAATCAACAGAGAGAAGAAGCCTTAGTGGTTGCTTCAGATCTTAAGCATACAGATTTTAATAATAGTGTGTTCCTGTTTAATTTTTAAATTATTTAACCACAATGTTTATTTTAACTTAAGGCCTACAAAATGCCAATGTGGAAAACTTCTCTAAAAATTTAAATACAGCATACATATATTTTACTTTCTGCACAGTATCTTTCATCTGCTTTATCTTCTTTTTCAAGGTGTTAGCTTTTTGGGAGCTCTTGGCTCTAAAAGCGAACTTTCAGTCCATGTGTTCACGAAATGGATTAAGCTCACTGTAGTGCTGATTTACTGTAATTAGATGTAAGATTGATGCATATGGAAGAAGCTCTTCCAAGCATCTCATCCATCTCTAGTACCACCTCTTCAATAACTCTACCAGATTTGATTTTTCTTTAGCAAACCAGTGCAAACCTCTTGCATCTGTGAAATTCTTGCAGTGAGAGATCCAGATCTGATAAGCAAAGTGAATATAGAAAGGACAGACTAAAATCTCTTAACTTGATGTAAGCAGCTCTAGGAAAACGTGTAGCCCATACCTCATGCACCATCTTATTTCTCTACCAGGTGAAAGCCTCCACCAACAGGAATGTGAAGCTGGTAAGAACCCCTGATACATCCTCTGTGGCCACAGGGTACAATCCACCACAAGCAGCAGCAAGATTAGCATAAAAGGATGCTGTGTGTCCTTATCTGCTCATATTTCCCTCAGGTGCCTTTTAAAGCCTCTGGAAGAGCGCTCTGCCCTGTGCTTCATTGCTTTTGATGACAACATGGGAACTCCTGCCATTCTGATTTGAAGTGTCAAGGAAAAGCAATTCCTGTGATACTGGTGCTCTTGCTCTTTCATAGCTTCCTGCCATGATGTGTGAGGTCCAACTGATCCTGGAGCTTTCACTCAGAGTGGGGATTTAGGGCCAGGAGAGCCCCTGAGAGAGAGAGGTGTTACACAGAACAATTAGGGAGTCAAAGCCCACTGTGGATCTGTGGAGGTTCATGATGTGATTCCTTACCAAAGTGAACTAAATCAGAGCAAGCAGATTAAAACCTGTATGAAGATCAGACATAGGCCCCATGTGGGAAAACACAAAACACTTTAGACAATTGTGTGGAGGGCAGGGAACAGAAAAAGGTAATATTCTGCCTGACAGTGGTCTTGATAACCTGGCAAACAAGGTGAAAACTGGGAATATAAACATCCTGTTTTAAAAAACAACAACAACAAAAACAAAACAAAAAAACCCTGAAAAACAGACAATCTCTTGACATTTACGAAAGACTTGATCTTCTAATGAAATTAAATACTGAGGAAAACCTAACATATCTGAACAGTGCTTGTAGAGACACCCTGGGGAAGGAAGACAACTCCAAGAGTATTATAAAAGCCATCCTCTTGCAGTGCAAGAGGAAGAGGATTGCAGACTTCAAAAGTTGAACTGGAGGAACCGCTTAGAAGGACAACATTTAATTCTTTCCTGTCATGTCAGTGATCTATATGCTGAGGACATAATTTATTCCTGAAAAATGCTCCTACAGGAGAAGGGACATGGGCGTTAATCTCACATAGATCAAGGGAATGCTTTGGAAATGCATCACAAGTATCCTGAGGTTTAGATTCTAGAAACAAATTCTTCTTTGAGAAAAAGACCCTTGAGCTGGACTTAATCCACAGTACTGCCACTCAGGGACCAACTGTAATCTGTTTAGGCCCATATCTTGTATTTACAAGTACCAGAATCAAATACCGACAGTACTCAGTAGTGCATAATTAAATTCTTACTCCCCTCTGAAGTCATTGGCAAAACTTCCACTGACTTCAATAGTGCTGGATTAAGCCTTAACAGAATATCATGAGAATTTGAAAAGCAAATTGGATCCAAATTTTGCAAATGGTTACTTGTCTCTTTTGTGGATCAAACCATATCTAAAAAAAAATCAACGTTACTGTGAATGAAATCAGGATATGTATTCATAGTGTGTGTTCTGAATGCTTTTACAGAAGTTATACAAAATTGAGTCACTTAGGGGACTGCAGCAATAATAAGAGTTGTGTAAATACCATGTAGCAAAAATATTCCATGGTTAGCCTGTTCTTTTTGGCACAATCCATCTGGCAGAAACTTATACATTTATTTTGTTGTTTCTCATGGGCTCATGGTGAATAATTTCTGCTCTGCAGATGGTTGTGATGTGGATGATTCTTTAAGTCCAGTTTCAAGCTTTAGCTCTGTGGCTTAAAGTAACAAACTGTATTCCGATGACAGGATCTCTGAGAAGCTGATTTTCAATATTAATTTTGAAATAAATTCCATTGCTTTATAGGTATATTTCTCAATATTAGTTTACAGTTTTAAAACTGGCAAGAAGTGAGTTCCTGAGCATAGATGAATTGTCCCCTGCCATTCACAGTATACTATTTGAGCTGAAGTTGCAGAAATTTTTCAAAATGGTTACACTGCAGAGATTCCTTTCTTTTTTTACGAATAATTTCATTTTACTATAAAAGTAATACTAAAACAGATTCACTAAACAAGACTATCCTGATGTAGAAATGCCAAGCTAGAAATGCATGGAATGGAAGGTGACCTGAATTTGCCTCGATGGCTTAAGAGGATATTATTCTGGCACTCACTGGATAGGTATTTGTCAATAAATGTTGTTCCCAAACTTCAGTGGCTTTGTGATAGCAATGATCTCTTGTCCTTGCTGCAGTTTCTGTAGGATCTGAAGGAAATTCCTTACTTCCCTCTAAGAAATATGAAGGATCTGTTTCCTTAGGGAAGCAAAAACTGGGGAAACAGCTCACTCAGTTAATAATTGTTTTTCCATCTCTGACATTGTCAATACCACATCAGCGGGCAGGCGTTCTGCTCTTACCAGTTGAACTCTTACCACTGATACTCCATCCTTCAATCCTGTCTTTGAGTTGTCAACATTTCTCTTTGGCTTTAGTAGTGACATAATAGGCTAAGTAGGGCTCAAGCAGTTACTGCATTTCTACAGGGACACCAGAATAGGACTGCAACTGCTGTGATCACTCACCAGCATGCCAGACCTGGACTGCCCTTCTCCGACTACATGCTCTCTGTCCTGTCCCTTGATGCACTGATATTCACAGCTTTTCTTACCTTGGACAAAAGGAGTTGTCCTCTTCTGCCTCTGCCCCTAATTATCGTGACCCAAAGGTACCTTGTTCACAGCTACAGGTTCACAGCTGTTCAAGGCCTTACTTAATATTTTTGTACTCTTCTGACACTTATAAAACACTATCAGCTGTACATTGTTTCTCAGTGATTTTTGATTACACCTGAAGATTTGAAAACACCGTGCTAAGAAAATTTTTTTACTTTGTGTGTTTTGCTTTCTGAGACATTTTATCCTTGTTCTTATTCCTGTTACATTTCCACAGCTTTCTGGCAGACCTTTTCTTTTTCAATGAGTGTGGGAATTTTAACTATCAGATTGCAATGGAGAAGAAAATCTATCTTTCCAAATATTTATGGAAATAAAATAATAATGCTATTAACTACACTCTTGATAACTAGGATTATCTCATTGTATATATACAGATCCTCCAGATAGGCAGATTATGTGATCAGAAGGTTCTTACTAGGCCCCAGGCTCAGAATGCACATTAAAGCGGATCAAGCCTGCTTTAATTCATGTGCTGCTTTGCTAATGCTCTTGCTCTTTCTCAAGAGAATTTCTGAAATATGCTATTAATTTTGGGCCCAGTGCTGTACCCGTTGAGGTAGATGGACAGCCATTGACTTTGATGGACCATAAACTAGGTCCAGTTTGGGACAACAGTATGGTAAGAAAGACACTTCTCACTCTTCCAGGACTAGAAGCATCTCAGTTTTTCATGCTGATGGACCTTGAGTATCTTGTATAAACTATTTTAGCATTGTTCACAAATGCCTGTAGAATATAATGATTATATCTCATTCAAATCTGAGATGTTTAAGGGAGCATATGAGGGGACAAACCACATCTCAGAGAGTAGAAAGGAACTGGAATGACTTCCTTGGCTAGCTGATGGAACAGTTTTCAGGCAGGCAATAGGACTAGCTTACAAAGTGTGTTTCCAAGAAGCTTATGTTTTTTCATGATTCAGAAACCACGGAGCAGTTTGACAAGTAAATAGAGTAAACCACCCTCCAAATTTGCTTAGACCGTTAGCTTTATTTTAAGAAACTTGCCTGTTTCTGGACTAGGATCTGTCCTAAATGTTGTAGGCTTTATGATAAGCTTTCCTTACGGAGTTTGAAAACACAATAATTGAGAAATAAATAATCATTTCTGTCCCCATCATAAACTGTAAAGGAAGTGTCATCTATGCTTAAATACCACTATCTTAAGAGTTTCCTTCTAATTACTATGTTTCTGAATGTGTCTGTGGTTCCTTTCTCTTTCTTTATGTTGGCAAATAACCCAGTTAAATGTTAAGAAATGTGAAGTTCAGCTATGGAGAATGTTATGGGGCAGGAAAGAGATTTTGATATTGAGTTTGACAAAATTAGGAGAGATGTGGTCTTTTCACTTAAAAATATAAAATAATATGAAAACTGTGAATGATAACAGAGAAGTAAAAAAGAATAGGTGGGTAGATGAAGTGCCTTGGAAGAAGGAGCAGTGGGAGTAGAAGCAACAGCTGAAGAAAGGAGGTGCTGTGAATGGGTGAAAAATGTTGCTGCGTCTCATAAAAAGGGGTGGAAAACTTGAATTTATGAATTTATATGAATAGGAAATCAGTGAAAAAAGGCTGTAGAAGAACTTGGTGGAAACGAATAAATGACCAAAGGGTGAATTCAGAGGCAGTGTTTTGTAAAGATGAAGTCCTAGCGATTTCATAGGGTAACACTCCTTCCCTCACCCTTTCTCTTGTTTCACATGGAGAAGGGTAATCTGTCATTTATTTATATTTAAAATTTAACTATCCCATGTGTGAGATGGAAGTGAGAGCTGGTCATGTTTGGCTTCAAAGTCAGCCACAAGTATAGAGTCCTCTGAGAAACCGGCTATTTGCCAGTCCTCTAATATTATACACTGACAGCACTATGCTGTGGCAGTCTAATCTTCTTTGGGACCCATAAAGTGGCCTGGTTACAAGGCCAAGCTGCCTGGTTTAGTTTGGTCTTCCCTGAACACCGACTTTAAGCATAGGAACTGTGCTATGAAGCAAAAGTGCACTGGTGTAACTGCAGCCACGGAGCCTTCTGAAATAGTGAGCATATGTCCTTCTGGTTTTCTGCTAGTGTGCTGGCCCCAATAAAAGGAATGTACCTTCCGAAAATATCATCTCAGAGGCAGACAGCACTGTGTTCTCCCAAGGGCAAATCTTAGAAGCAAAAGAGAGTACTACTGAGCAAAATCCTTATTTTTGCTTTTAATTTAAGGAATACTCATTTGGTTAAGCTTGGGCTGGATGGCTTTCAAATACAAATCCTCCAGGATACTTTAGGCGAACCTGATAGCCTCTTTGAGTCAGACTAGTCTCTTAAAATGCAGCAGGACCAAAAAAGGACTTGTGATTAAGGAGACTGCACATCCTTGGTGTCCTGGAAGCATTCCAGGGTATGAGATGATATTTCAGTCCTTTGCATTCCTAAGAATGTCCTTTTGTCCCATGAAAGGCTGACATCTTCCTGTGTCATAACGAAATGATGAGCCAGAGAGGGAGGTGTCTGTCTAACGAATCAATCTGAAGACCAACTATCAGGCTCCTGGTAGGCTGATTGACTGTTGCTTTTCTGGGCTCATGGAGGAAGGGGTGTCATAGCTCTGATGCTAATCCCTGTCATTTGGGTGCCCCCTGTTGGCTGATCTGCCAAGTCTGTGATGCACCTAGAGTTAGCCTTAAAAGAGCCAAGAGCTGAACGCAACGGAAAGAGAGGTTAAAGTAGTCAGGACTAAATGACAAAATAGTCTTTTTCCCTTAATTTGACACTAAGTGTGTTTGTTGTTGTTTTCCTACAAACCCTATATGGTTTAATTTTAAAAGGGTTTGTGACCAGAGTTAGTTTTTGGTATGCTATGTTGGAAACTGGCAGCTACTTACATTTTTGGTTCCGATTTTTTTGTCAGTGGCTTTTTTTTTTGCACACAAAAGACCTTGTGCCAAAATCATTGCCCTTTTTTTTTTTTTTTTTTTTTTTTTTAAGGAAAAAATACCCACCTTTTCTAAAAATCACTCTTGTATGAAGCAACTAAATCAAAACATTCAGTTAGGTAAACTGTTCTCTGTTCTTAGGTAAAGCATATAGAAATGCGAATGCCAGAAGGTCTCCCATCAGCTATTCAAGTATAAATTGCAATTCAGCAGGTGGTAACTCCAGCTAACTAACTGAGGGCAAAATTGAGGCATTTCTTCTATAAAATAACTAGAAAGGATAAAGTATTTTTCTGCCATGGTGACATAAATCCCCATAGTTCCTTCTTTAGGAGTACAGAAAAACTTTTCTGCTAAACTGGAGGGCCATCTCCCTCAAGATTGTCAGGCAGATAGGGCTACCAGAAGATACTTAGGAAAAGTATATAAGCACAAGGCATGTACAGTATGATCTTTCCTTTGATGAATGTTCTCATCACACACGAGCCACTATTTTAAAGACTATTACACAGAGTTTGCTGCTAGCTTTACCATGTCCATACGGTTTGTCTTTTCTATGTTTTGGCTAATAGATTATAAGCAGCACAGTGAACTAATCTTCCATTCTGGAGCCAATTCCAGTTCTGTTTTCACAACTAGGATCTTCACCTGCTCCCCTCCCTCCTTGCCATGGCATGTGAGCAATTCACACCCAAAAAGTGCTCTCTGACCTACCTCAAGACAGCTGTTTGCAGTTGTCTTTTGATGAGATGCCTGATGACTGTTGACCAGCTGTTCAGAAAGTTGCTAGTTATGGACAAAAATAATCTTCAGTGAGGTTATGCGATGGGGAAATAGAGGGAATGACTGCCTTTTTTATCCCTTCAAGCACACAGCAGGGATAGAAAGAACCCCCTCCAGAGCTCCATGCTGTAGGATTACAGACTTCAAAGTAATGACCATACTAACTTAGAAGTCAATCCTACAATCTTGTCTGACCACATTTAAAGGTCTGAAAGTGACATTTTTTTCAAGCTTCAGTAGACTTATGGGGTCAGGAACAATGCAAGATGCAGACCTTCCCCAGACCTCCAATTTAATGTGACCATGAGGTAGAATGGAGACAAGAACAAAACATTTTAAGGGAAAACAATGAAGGCAGGGGATGAAGGGAGGTAAGATGGAGAGCAGTGTTCTGTTAGGAGGAGAGCCAAGTAAGAAACTTCAAGCTGTCAGAAAGGGCATGTTCTTCTCAGAAATTGTATTGAAGGCCAAAAGGATAGGATAAACAATAATGATGTTATACAGTTTTAAATGGAACACACAGCCCTGCCTTCTAGGCATTCCAGCAACCCTCTTTGTGGCTGTGCCCATATGTCGTGCATTTCACCCCAAAACAGCCAGCTAATTTGATCTACTAATCAGTGGTGATGTGAGAACTTTACAGCAGCTCTTGACTGCAAAGAACAAAGGTCATGATATAAGGCAAAATTACTTTTGTAGGAGAGAAATCATACATAGAAATAGGATACTGGTCTGTGCCCAGCAAAGGTAATGAAAAAAAAAAAACAACCAACATG